TTTGTGTGATATATTTCAGATTCAATCCATTTTTTTAAAATTAAATATAATGTACCTCGCCATAATCTGCACTTTTTATTCATGGTCTTCGTAATTTACTTCTGCATGTCCCTTTCTTAATTGCAAGTGCAAGTGTTTCTACTAACTGCATTCTTTTCTGCTAACTGCATGTGTTTTTGCTAACCTGTATGTAATTTACCTTTACTAAATTTTATATGATCCGTTTAAATTCAGTGCATTTCTTTAAATTGAAGATATTATGCCTCCCCATAACCTGTATCGTTCACCCCAATTTACTTTAACATCTTTTCCTTAACATTGTGATTTGCATGCATTTTTGCTAACCACATGTGTTTTTTATTTCATGTTTTTTGTATGTCTTTTTTTTTCACTCTGCATTTGACTTACTTTTGCATGTTTTTTCTTAACATTGCATTAGCTTTACGCATATGTTTCTACTAGCTAATTGCATGCTTTTCTACTAACTCAATCCGTGTGTATTTCATTTGGTTTCATTACATTTTCGGTTTCCACTTTATTATATTTTATCTTACTCAAAAATATTTTTTCTGATTATTTTTCTATTATTCCGATTTTCTAAATTCTAATTTCAAATTTACTCCTAATTAAAAATGAAATTTCCCCATAGTGAATTTTAATGAATATTTTTAAATTAGTTTAGAGAGCATAAAAAATACTAGTTTTTTTGAATTTATTTTTCACTCCTATTTTGTTTTTTTAGGAATTTGATAAAATTATATAATATAATTAATGTCAGTTTCCAACTCCTAACAAAATATATATTTTCAATATTTGATAGGTCATGTTGGAACTTTTTTTTCTGCTTATGATGAATTATTTTTTCACTATTTGGTAGTTATTTTCTAAAACTCGCGATTTTTATTATCGATGTGTTATAGTGCAATTTTTTAATTATCTAAAGACCAGATTGATATTTGAAAACTTTTTCCTTTCAATTATTGAAACTAAAACTTTATTTATTACAAATGCTTCTCATAATTGTTTGTTGGTTTTTCCTTTTTTACCTCAGTCTACTGCTTTTCATATTGTCGGAGTAGGTCAAAAAAAAAAAAGTATTAGCGCAAAAAAAGTGTTAAAAATGCCTAATGCTAATTGTATTTTTTCATTCTGTTATTTAAATTAATGTTGCATCTCGCATATCTATCAAAATTAATAAAATTTAAGGAAAATTAACTTTAAAACGAAGCAATAAATGAATTGGATTAGAATAAGTAAAGGTAAATTTTGCGTCAATTTCATAATTTTTTCAGCATATTCGGTGGTAGCATTAACTTCAAATAAACTGCTAGAAAACTGAAACATTATTTTACAGTTATTTGTCAATCTCAAGATTTTTAATCTTTTTTTCTTGAGAATTTTAAGTGAGTAAAATTCTTAAAAAAGTCACAATAATATCGAGACTGGTAACAGTATTAATTAATAAGTTTATATAAGAAAATTGTCTTTTTTTAAAACTTTTTTCTTTTGTCTTCATAATATTTAAACTTCATCAAATATGTCGAAGATTAAAATATCTTTCAAATTTCAATTTCACATGTCATGTATGCTATCAATTTTAGATATTAATCAATTTAAGATATCTTGATTATTATTTCACAGAAATTTTTAGTTTTTGTAACAGAAAATTTTTCTTTTTTTCGTTCGAGTCTATTTTGAGCAGCTTACTGTTTCACTTATTATCATTTGATTTTATCTGCTCTCACCTGGTACCACCTGCTACCAATTACTTATAACAACCATTTGCAACCACTTGATACTATCTACTACCACTCACTACATGCTACCACTTGCTATCACTTTCCACCACTTGCTGTTACTTGACACCACCAAGCACATCAGCTGATGCTATCTACTACCACTTGCCACTGTTTGCTTGGTAAAAGGGTAATAATGAAGGCTTATCAGAAATTTGCAACAACACTTTTACATAAAGCAGAGAGGGGGAAAATTCTTACCAACTTGTTCGTCCCTCGATCTGCACATTATTAATAATTTAGCAACTATAACTGAATAAAATTGAACACTGTTGATTGAAACCAAAAATTAAATTTGATTACAAGTGGAAATTTCAAATTAAGTTACGATAGATCCAAACAACACTTTCAAATTAGATCTGAAAGTATGCATATGACAATAATTAATTTAAAAAAGTAGAACTATAATCGATTCTTCCAACCTGTGATTATATGAGCTTTGCCAAACGTGAGCAGTTGATAAAATCAATTTGAAATTTGCTTGAATGATTGTTGGAATAGTTAGTATCACATCTTTCTATTGAAAATTAATATATATATATTTAATTTAAGATTGTTTCATGCAGAAGATGTGTAAAACTGTTTAATTAAAAATTTCCTAAATACTTGTTCACTGTCCGATAGTAATAACTATATCAATCATATTTTTAATGTCAATAAGATGAAGTACATAAATAAGTAAATACATAGGGTAAATGGTTTTCTGTCTTCATAGATGGATAAATGACTGAATGAATTGATAGCAATTCATGAAAGTGATCTCCTTTTTCGATAATATAAATTGCCTACATTTTGAATATATTAGGAAAGCATTCTGCTAAGTAAAAATTTCCTCTGTGCTTTATATTAAACCACATGACAAGCATGATCAAATTATTTTCACCCTCCTTTCAATAATTCTGTTTTCCTGTATTAAAGAAAAGTGAAAAAGTACGAAAACAAAAAAAACGGTACCTTTCATAATTTATTTTCTCTCTGTCACCTTTAATAATATTTGAGTATTGGATTTTAGATATCACAAGCATCGTTACAAATGTGAGAAAATTTAATAAAAATTACTTTATTATAATCGTTAAAGAAAAGTGAAAAAGTACGAAAACAAAATCATTTAATATCTTATGATACTAAGAAAATTCCTTCTGATTAAATATAAGTGAATTTTGCAGAAGTTGTGTTTATCAAATTGGATTCAATGCGATTGAAAAATGACTATAATTCAGATTTAACAAAATTTGTCAACATACTTGACATATATTATTGTTTTGTGTATAACATTGAACCATTCTTTCCAGTTACATTTGTTTTAATTTCAAATTATGATAAATGATGAGAGAAATTTGATATTATTGTAATTCTTGAATCGATCATCGTACTTTTTATAAAAAGTACAAATGCGGAAAAATTTCGCCCATCATAATCACCAATACTGTGTTTTCTGATTGATACAGAAAATCTACTGACTGATGGCATTCGTTAAAATAGACTTTTAGAGAATGATTAAAATGTTTCGAACATATTTTCTCTTTAATTATTAAAAATTATAACTGAAAATGATTCAATTCGAAAACTGCATTTCTTCTAATTCATAAATAATTCAACTTAGACATCATAATACATTTGCAGTATGATGACAGTAGATTTGATGAAAAATTTCTCGCCAAAAGCAAAAAAAGAAATGGGTAATTCACCCATTTCTTTTTTTGATAATAGAAAAATCACCCAGAAAAGCACAGTATTTTTATTAAAAAAATCATAACATAGAAGTAAAAAGGAAAAAAATGCGGGAATAATCAATAATTATTATGGCATTATTATTATTGCTGAGCAACAATAGGTAAACCTTGTATAAAATGAAAAACATTTTATCCATTATAGATAAGAATTTTTAAAAATATATGTATTTAATAAGTATATTAATGCATTCTTGTTTTTTTTTTTTTTTTTTGTTTTTGTTTTGTTTTGTTGTTTTTGTTCAAATTACCTATTTGATTATTTATTTATTTACTTTTTTCTTACAAAAAGTCATTTATTTGATGTCGTTTTTTGAGAGATAGCGTTTGTAAAAGCCTTAATTTCGTGGTATGACTTATTTTTCCTCTTTTTTTTTTTTAAAATCTCTTTGTTGATAAATTGATGATGTTTAGTGAATGGGCAATAATTAGAGAAAAAATGAGCTAAAACAGCAAAACAAACAAATAATTCGACCTTGTTTTGGTATGTTTTGAACAAAATCTAAAAGTTGAAAATTTCACTTTCTTCCGTCATCCATTCATAATAATAAATGTACGCTATAAATGTTTGAAAGAAATTGAAAAAGAAGTGGAAAAAATCATAAAATACCGAATAAAAATTTTTACATTTGAATGGAGAAAAACATTAAGGGACTGCAGTAATGTACGAATTTAAAAATTCAAAAGAAAACGAAAAAAAAAAAAAAAAAAAAAACAGCGAAACTGCAGATTACTAATAAATGGCACTGACGAAGAAAATCATATGTTTGAAATATAAATATACATTCTTAAGTACCGGCGATCTTGATTACAATTGGACATTCAAGATTACGAGACTTGTGGTTTTGTGAAATTTCCAAAAGTTTTCGTTATTAAGACTGTCGAAAGAACACAAACCTTCAGCAAATACGATTCTTGATATTTTTGAAATAAAAGTAAATGTCATGAATAGTTAAGTGAGATACGATTGTTTTGAGCTATTAGATACAAGCATTTGCTTATAGTACAATTAAATAAGTGTTTGCTGAAACCAATTAAATCATCCCTTTCGTCCCTTTAAATGCTATTCAATGATAAGTGACCTCTTTTTAGAAGTTTTCGCCCCTTTAAACGACGTATCATCAACGTATCAATGGAATTTTATATTTCTACATATTTAAATATACTTAAAAGTAAGAAATTATTTAGAATAGCTTACTTTTTAATCAAGTTTAATTAGAAAATCTTACTTTTCTATTCCATCTTAATAATTACCCTGTCACGTGAAAAAAAAAACACACACGCACACACACACACAAAATATCGCATCAATTTTCCCTTTTGTCATTTAATTTCTAACTGAAAGGGGAAAAAAAGTGTAAGAGATAAATCACTGAAACGATAAAAGTAGCAAGTTGAAAATTTTTGTAGATTATTACAAATGTTAATGAAAAGAAAATGTGAAACCCGAATCATATGACCTAGAAACAACTTATTACGTAGTGGATGATACACAAGATAATGATGATGATGTTGATGATGATGATGAAGATGATGATAATGACGATGATGATGACTGTGGTGATGATTGCAACACCGATGTTGATGTGGATGATGGTACTGGTGGCGGAGGTGATAATGATAATGTTGTTTGCACAGCAACTGCAGTAGCAGTTCCAAATCTTTGTTGTCGTTTTGATCGCCGTGGTAATGATTTTTTAAGCATCAAATCACTGTTTGGAAAAACAGCATAAGCTTTCCGCCGACCGCTATATAATCGATTACGACATGATGGTGGCGTACTTGGTGGAGTAGTTTCAGGTAAGGGTGGTGGCACGTTATTCAGAATACGTTTCAGATTTGGTGGTTCACGTTTTATTGATACCAAATTTGGTAATTTGGATGCAGTAGATGAAATGGCATTTTCCATTAATGCATTCGCACCATTTTGTCGATCATAAATTGCTTTGGATAAATCAGTAGATAAAAAAGGTTTTGGATTAAGCCGTTGTGTTGTTGTCACTAAGGTTACTCGAGATGGTGATGTGGTAGTAGGTATCCTAGAAATTTGTACAACTTTAGTGACTGGTCGTGGCATCAAATTGTTGACTTTATTTGGTATTATTGTACATTGCCGGACTTTTTGATGACAGGAATTCGGTTGCATGTTTTCATTTTCTTTTCTTTTTCTTTCTGACTCATTCTCATTCCACTTTCCATCCTTATCCGTTTTCCGTATTTGCTCTGATTCTTGTTCCTGATCTTGAGTTAATACTTTTTGATTTTGAACATCTTCATCACTCATCGAGTCACATCCAGAATCCACTGAATTTAGAGATTTTGGTGAAAGCTCATCAATACGTTCATTCATTCGACTTGGTGGTCGAGGTATTTCTAAATATTCATCGCTTTCGCTATCTTCTGAAATGGTTGTTAGAGTCGGAACATGTCGTTTCATCCGAATACGATCCTTGGCTATATCAATCATCTTCCGTAGTTCGTATACAAATTGCACAGCTAACACCGGGGGATTAGCCATTAGCTCAGGTTCGAAGAAATCTGCAATAATTATTTTAATCAAAATTGAAGTGTAATGTTAAATCAACATTTCAGCATGCCATAGTTTATGTTTCAAATCTCTGAAAGATCCATTTTTCCCATATTTATTGCGATTATTGAAGTATTTAAAAAGAGGAGTTGCAATGAAAAATGTATGTAAATTTGTATTAAATAGATCAAATTTCCCAATTTATATCAGCAGAAATACTATTTTAATATTTGTTGCAGGATGCGGGTAAAAATTATCACAAAACATTTCAATTTTAAAACTAAATTTCGATTTTAAATTATACATGTAAGAATATGAAAATGACTAAAAAAAAAAAATACCAGCACTAAAGTATAGTTTCCTCTTCTGTATTCCAACATTTGTTGGACACTGATCAGTTTCATTTTCAAATGTTGGATGTCGTTCAATGCTTGCTTTTATTGAAGCTATTTGCTCTTGCATATATACCTGAAAAATATGTATTTTCAATAATTTCATATTGTAAATTACAAATATTATTTAAATGTAATGAAAAATCTAAAAGCTAAGAAAAGAATTGCCTCTTAAAATTTTTCTTAAATTTTATCACTTAAGTTTTAGGTTTTCAAAGAAAAAAAAAAACTTGAACAAAATCTAAATTAAGAAACTGAAAATGCAAAGGTAATACAATTATCATTAGACTTATCTCCAACTAATCAAGGTAATCAAAAAAAAAAAAAAAATACAAAATTGATTTTATTATACTAACATAACCATTTCTGTCCTAATATTTTATACACATTTATTATTAATTCCTTGATTAATTTGATGACTGGCGATATATAAATTATTTCACATCAGTTAATTTTAATTATTAATCATTAAATAATATTATAACAATAATAACAATTATTATCACTATCATTTATAACCTGATAACTGGTAAGTATAACTTATCAGTTTGAAAAAATAAAAATGAACATACCTGTTGCTGTTTCATATGATAGAGGAATTGCATTTGCATCGTTGAGACGAGTTTACTTTTTTCCTTTTTCCAACATACTTTCCATAATGCAATCCCACCAAATAATGTTATGCCAAGCAATGTTGTAAGTAATACGCATATGATTAATTCAACTCGATTCCATTGCATATCATTAAAACGATGAGTCAAATTAGCATTCACTAAAAATCTCTTTTTAATTTGAATTTTTTCATTTTTCAAATTAGCTTCTATTTTTTATTTAATGCTAACATTGGTTATATTTACTATGCTATATATTATTTAACATAATTGGCAATAGTTTGAAAAGTATTTTATAATCTTATCTACCACATTATTTTTATTTCATTCATTTACATTCACTACTTACAAGAAAAATTAAATTGCTTCAATTTAATCCGATAAAAAGATAAACAATTATAAATTCTATTCCATTTCCTTTTATCAATCATTCAAATTATCAATAAAAATTTTACCATGTATGCCAGCAATTCGAAATGCAATGCAATATAATTCAGAAATAGCATTGTTGCAGAATATTTTTAGCTGTATAATACTGCCTTCCATTCTTTTAGCATCTGTTTCGCTTCCTATCCACTAGAAAAAAAAATGGAAAATTTAAAAATTTTTCATTAAAAAATGATTTTCTATTTTTTCATCCAAAATATTTTCCATTTAAAGCTGTTAAAACTGGGAATAAGTGAAGCAAAAAAAAAAAAGAAAAAAGCACTATTTTTTTGAACTAACAAAAATATTATTTACCAAAAATGATTACTAAATGGTTTGAAGTAAATGTTAATTGAAGGATTAGTTAATATATAGTTTAATTAATTTAATTATTAGGATAAATTTATTTGCTGCTCAACAAACAAGCATAAGAAATGTTAAATAAATGAATGTAATAATACCAATTGCATACAATAAGATAATTAGTGTAATTGTAGTTTTCCAATTTAAACAATTTACTATCATTGTGTAATATCCATAGATCGTCGGTTTGTACAAAAGTATCCCTTACAAAGCATTTTAATTCATCTTCAGCAATATCTTTTCTTCGTTTTATCACTTCTGAAATAATTTTTTTTTTCGCTTTTTTTTTTTTCAAACCTTAAAAAATTTAATGATTAGTACGAATATTTGATATATTATTTATACTCTTACACATAACTATCATTATGAATACAAATACCAGAATTAAAAAGTAATATATTAAAAAAAAAAAAAGTTTACCATTCCAAAGAATAATATGTGAAGGAGCAAAAATGCTATTTGTTGCTGGTATGCTAAAAGTTGGTAACCATCGTTTAGAATTATCATTGATAGATTGAAACGGTATTTGTTGACGGCATTCATCTGAGATTTTAAAAGATAAGATATAATTGAAGGAAAATACAAGTCATTATTGTTCATTATTGAAAGAGTTCGGAAAAAATTACAAATTTCATTATAATGCATCTCATTGACTTAGAATTTATATTTGATTTTAGTTAATTTATTTTAGTAATAATTTTTTTTTAGTTCTTTAATTAAAATAGAAAATAAACTTTTCTTCTTTTTTTTTTTTCGTTATAATTAAAATAGTGTTATTGATATTATTATAATCATAGTTTAATTAAAAACATAAAATGTTAGCAAGTAGAAATTGAAGAAAAATTGTTATTTTATAAGTATATTTAAAGAAATGCAAAGACTTAGACTAAAAAGTGTTGAGTAAATGGTATAATATAATGCCTTATTGAGTGATAAATTTTAACATAATTTCTGGCTATTATTATCAAAAATTTAACTTTTTTTTATAGACTTAATTATCCTATGGTAAAATTAAGCTTTAATATTATACTAGACAATAATATATCATCTGTAGCTTTTATTTTGCAAAAATAAAAAAAAAAAAGGAAAAAAATATGCGGCCATTTCAATGAGTGGAATTTTTGCGCATTGTTTAGAAGAAAGGAAAAATGTAGTAAACCGAGGACATTCCACTTCTTCTTTTCCTCTTTTTTTGTCACCTATTTTCAATTTGCTGATGTCTTAACTAATCGATAGATAAACAAAAAATTTTTGAAATAAATGTTTAGTATAAAATACAAAAGAACAAGATCATCAATTAGGGTTTGGCAAATAAAGTAGCAAAAACAAGTGAACCTAAATTGGCCAATTTCATTTTTGTATATTACAATTAAAATAATTAACAAAATTTTACTAAGCGAAATTTGCACCTCAATTTTGCTTTTCAAAATGATTTGTAACAAAAAGATGAGAAGAGAAGATTTATAATGATTCCAATTTTCGAATTTGCTGGTATAATTAAGAGTTGATTCTATATATGGATTAATCCGAACAAATGATCCATATGATTGGAAAGAATTTTTTCTCTTTTTCATTCTATTTTTTTTAAAAAAGTCTAAAAAATAAGTGAACTTCTTCATTAATTGATTTAATTTATTTATTTGAAAATTTTTATTATTAAAGAATTATTTATTAGAAAATTTTCAAACTAGTATTTATAAGGGAATATTATCGTTGGAGGTAATCATTTATTATAGTTCCATTGCATTGAATAAGTAATGTAAAAGATGCATGCATATTTTCACATTATGTTTTATTTTCCATTTTCCAGAAATTTTTCCTAATTTTAATTCTTTCTTTAAATTCTTTTTTTTTTTTTTTTTTCAAATTTAGCAAATTTTGAATAAGTTTCTAAGAAATTATTAAGAATGATGGCAACAAAAAATACATAATGTGCAATGTGCATCAAACAATAAATGTAGAAAGAATTGTTGAATTGGTAGAAAAATTAGGTTATGCGAAATGTAAAATATACAATGACAAAATTATGTAAATGTACCAAGTTTATTGATACAGCTCCGAGTAGAAGGCAAAAATACAGCAGCATCTGCTTTACATTGACAGGAGCATTGTTGTTTTGTAACTAGTCCAGGTTCTTGATCTGGGACAATAGATGAGTCGAGAATTGTTGAGCATGTTGTTATAGGTGATGAGCATTTGGTAAAATGGATGATATCCGGTGCATTTAAATGACGATGTACCGATATCCAATCATTTTCGGGATGACCCAATGGATAGGATGGATAAGCATATGTTCCAAGATATTTACGATTCAGTATGTTAACGATCAATAAATCTAGGAATAATGATATAACAATAATCATCGGCTAACTGTAGCAGTTTAAGTTGTACCAATAATGTTGACCGTTGCAGCATGTACGAAATTCACAAGACGACGAGATAACCTCGCCCAAAAAGTTGCCCGTTAACTTGCCAATGAGAGCTCGTTATTCAGACGACAGCATCGATGACGATAACCATGGCAATGATGTTGGGCGACAGCAATAGCGATGCACTGGCGACAACGATAGTAACAACGGTGGCGACAGTCCTTTCACAACTGCGATTGTCAATTGTCCCATTACAACTGCGATGGTGATTATGGTCATCAGGACGACAATAAAAACTTATAGCTATAAAATATTAATAATTTCTGGCATACTATCATTATTCTTGTATTCATATATTTAGATATATCATATACATATTGATTATTGATATATTACATAGAAATATGTAAATATAAATTCTAGTAAATCAATTAATGCACACCAATATATCATCAATCAGTTCTTCATCTCATCTTTTCCTTAACATGTTCAAACGACAATAAAATGATTTGAAGTTTTGGAGAGTAAAAGAAAACGTAACGATGATAACGATAAGGTTGGCGACATCATTCCTCCGGCATTATTTTGCTGTAACACAGTTATGCGCTCGGGTATCTTTACTATATCATTTATATTTGACAATCGTTGATATGCACTGTACCAAGTGTTCCACTTTGAAAATACATCTAATTTTAGGTGTAATTTATGAAAAAGGAAAAAGAAAAAAACATTCTCTTGAATAATTATTGTTAATTCTAACATTAGTAAGAGATATATCAGTCGAACTATTATTTATGATAATTTCATATTATTAGTTATATATGATATTTTCATATTATTAATTATATAACCTAATATTATAATATTTTTGAAGCAGGTAATATTTCTATTATCACATACATATGTATTAAGTAAATTCATATATTTTGTTGTCGGTTTCTTTCTTCTTTGAAAGTTTTTTTTTTTTTTTTTCATTATGCTTGTATTATTAAATAATAGTTTCGATAATTTTAAATTTATGATATGAAATCATATACTGAGCAGAAAAGAGCAATTACAACATGTACCCTGTAAGTTTACGGCCTTGTAAGTTCAAATTTGGAAAAAAAAAAAAACAATTTTATTGAATGAGAAGAGATTTTAAAACTTGGAAAAAAAAAGAAAAAAAAATTGTGAACAATTTCTATTCGTATTCCAAATTTTTAATGAAAGTTTGACCAATTATCAGCATAAATTTCTTTATTTTCCTGCACAATTTCAATTAAGTGTAAATTTCATTTCGAACATCGATTTCCTCCCTAATCGTTCATTAAACTTAGCCTTATAGGACAGCAACTTCTTTGTCATCAAAACTATTCTTGTCAATTTCTCCATTTTTTTTTTTTTTCTAGCAAAACTTCTAGTGGTTTTATTTGTGTCATCAGCACTTAAGACTACACTTTCAGGCAAGAAAAAAAATGTCCAAAAAATACAAAATATATTGATTGAGAATGCAAAACAAGTTATTTTTATCAGCAAACTAACTGATTAATGGTAAGCAAGAGAATAAATTTTCTTTAGTTGGTTGCAATTTACAAAAAACATTTCGTATAATTTGTAAAAGAAAAACTTTTGCATCTTTTATAATTCATTTTTAAAAGAATAAGTAAAAGTTCTTTTTTTTTTTTTTTTTTTAAATGATAAATACTGCAAGAAAAGAAAATGTTGGTAACAATTTTCAAGATATTACCTTGGGAAAATGATTCTGTTTATTCATCGTCGTACATTATTTTTCAAATTTTATTGTTTATTAAAAATAATGATGCAGCAAAAAAATTACAAACCAAAAAATTTCACATATCAGAAATATATCTGGTGATATTTTGAAAACAAAATTACGTCTTACAAATTCATAACAAACGAAATATCAAAAAGTTTCAAACAGCTTTATGCTAATTAAAAATAGCAATATTAATCTGTTTAAAGTTTTTAAAACAACACCTTTGAACTATTAATTTTTATTGGATTATCTTACATTCCTTTTCAGCATAATAATGTTTTATTTGTTGATTGACATTACTTTGTTAGTTTTATTCCAATTCAAAATTATTTATTAAAAACACTCTTTATTATATTTTAATGATAAAAGCTTTGATGTTATTTTTTGGCGTCCAGATTACATTCCTTTGTTGTACAAAAATAATGAACAAATGAGCGATATGTCGATGAAAAAAAAAAAAAAAAAAAAAATTTAGAACATTTGAATTTGTGCATAGTGTAATCGATGGAGTGATAAAACAATTCATTCAATCTTTACCGATTATCACTTCACATACATTGCATTGAAGAAGCTAAATTTCAATACATTCATATATTTATTTTTGCTGAAAAAATGAGAATTTTTTTTTCTTTTCTTTTTCTTTTGTTTTTATTTTCAAAAAGAACATTGATTAAATGAAACTTCTTAGGAACAAAGTAAATGACAATGAAAAGTTGGTAAAAGATAATTGAAAATAGTTTTAAATGCAATAATAAAATAATAACGTGTGTAGAAGACAAATTTTACAGTTTTAACATTAAAAATTTTTTCCTTTGAAGCATATTATTAGTTCAGTCATTGCAATTTGCACATGTTATATTTCCATTCAATAAATATCAACATTCTAAGTATAAAAGATTCATTCAAATTTTAGACTCTAAACTAAAATTTTTCGCCGTTACTTTTTTGTCAGAATATATCTTTTTATTTATTATTATTATTAATTTTTTCAATGTATTTCTTTATTGTTAGCAAAAAAAGCGTATGTTTGCAATGTGAAAATTGTTTTCTTGGTGGCTTTTTTCCTTTTCTTTTTTTTTTTCTTGGGAAAAATGAAATTGTTATAAATTTGATCGAAATTTAAGTAGATTTCAGACCATCTCGTTAATGTAATTCATTCATTAATATCGAGCTGTTAGGCCGACAATAAATTACGGAACAGCAAACAAATTAAAACGTGATGGATTAAAATTGAATGAACTTACTAGAGAATGTTGCAGTTTAGGAATTAACAATATCAAAATATAGAATATCTATAAGTTTACGCTTCGAAAAATAAATGTTTCATTGAAGAATCCTAAATACCTCGTATTGATATGACCCGCTTAATTGGATTACTCTTTCTTTTTCTTTGAGAACATAGTTTCTTCTCTTCTGTTACTTTTTAGGAATGGTACGAAATGAAAATTTCTTTATGCTCCACATTGTTCATTATAATGTATTCTAATGTAATTGCTACAAACTATGCCATTTTACTGTTTGTTATATCAGAGTAACTTAAACTGCATCACCCGCTGTGGCAAGTACTTAGGAAATTTACCTTAAGGACACTGGTACATACCTTTGCTATACCCGGTGTCGAAGCACAGTGATGTTAATGACACTCTCAGTGTGCCTTGATCAGTGAGATAAAACGGTTTGACGTGACCTCAATTGTAACGGTGCCATAATTTCGAAATATGATGTGCTAAATGGTAAAAAAGTCATAATTGTAAAGTAACTCATAAATAAAAAATTACGGTCTCCTCGACAAAAAAACCTCTACAAACTGATAAGTGCAAAAAATTTGGAAAATAAGACTTCAAAAAGCACCCAACCATTTCAAATGAAGAATTGTTCATCCACAGCAACATCACCTCAACATTCAAGATAAATTAGAATTTGAACATGAAACAATGGAACCGTCTCACTAGGGATAGTCTCACAAAATCATAACTAAAGGAACAGTTTGCAAAATGCATGTTTCCTAAGAACTGCTTGAATGATGAGAGACAAATAAGCATTTTGAAGTCAAAACCCGATGCTGTAATCATACAAGATCGTAACACTCTTTTGGATGTATAAGTCCTGTATTTAAAACCAAATATCAAATTAAAATAAGTTCGAGATGAGGAAACGTAGCACTCCCAACCTATTAACTCCATCATCCACATTAATATACAAAAGTTTCATAACAGCTACAGCAGCTCAATTTGTTCGGGAAAGAAGCACTTGTTGCTTTATTAAATTCCTTAACTCTGAAAACTGAGTATTAAATAAATCTCGGAACATCCCACTACACTTCTGATCTGCCCTATCTTTCCTCATATGACTATTCCAAATCCAGAAATTTCTTGAAATACACAATGTTCCGCAATTCAGCACTTGCTCCAGCTTAGTGAATTATGACCCAATGAAAATCAAACTCGAAGTGAGCAAACATAACGTACTCTCCTCTATTGCTACCCGTTTAAGCCACACCTCTCGGATTAATTACCACTTTTTGCAGTTACTATTCTAACATCACCTCCACATTAGATTATGTGAGAAGTTATTGGAAATAACACGTAATTTTAATATACCTTTGACTGTTTACAATTTTCTGTATACTGATTCAGAATTTTATGCCTTTATACTTTATGAAATAATATAACAGTATCCAGTTAAAAACAAACTGACAGAAATTAAGAACGCTTGTAGGAATTGGAACAACATTTTTAGTTTCTGTATCCACGAGACTTTCTACGTCCACGAGCCTGAAACATATTTCTTTGTAGCAAAACAGAGAATGAACCAGTCACGAAAAATATTTTCCTAAAAAAAAAAACCTGACTTACTAAACTGTTCACTTGCTAATAGACAACTGCAAATTTCTATACATGACTGAATACCTTCAAATAGATAATCATAGATTGAAATAAACTTACTCTTTCAAATTTGCGTCCTTTAGAACGAACAAGTGGTTTGGTATGACTGTGAGGTACACCTGGTGCTGGACCGAAATGTCTTTCAGCTAAGCGGTGTTTTCGCGGTCCTTGCAAAAGGAAGGTATTTTCTCCACGTGGTGCACGCAAAGCGAGTTGGTCGAGTGTAATTATTTCACCACCTGCTTTAATTATCCGTGCGCGAGCTCCTTTAGTCACATGCAGTGCAGCAACCTTAAAAATTTAAATTAACGCATCAAATGACATTTGTAACGACAATTTAACGTGGGAACAAGTTATCTTTAAGTCACCAACAAACTTTAAAGTTTCAATTATCTTTCCCAAAACAATACAAAGTACAATAAAAAACAAAGACTGGAGTGATGAATTAAACGAACCGTAAGCTTGGGAATTTCAAAAATCCGATTATCATCTGTGATCGTCCCAACTACGACCGCTATTTTCGTTATATTACCACCTCTTTTCATGTAACGTACCAAACGAGCAAGTGACATCGGTGGACGATGGCGACGAGCCATCATTAATCTTTTCGTGATAATATTGTTGAATTTTTCACCGGTTTTCCGAGTCAAGTATTTGTATAACTAAGTTATTGAAACCAACAATGAACAATAATTTTTTTTTTATAGACAAAAAAAAAGAACTATAATCTTCTTTAACACACTAATGTGGATGGAAAATTGGCCGCTAACTTATTGTGTTTTATAAATCAAGAGAATTATTTTTCAATAAAATTAACCACAAGCGACACACACAAATATCTAAGCAATTAAAAAGCATAAAAACATACCAAAGATTTTTGTTTACATAGCAAAACTTCAGGTAAAACTTAACATTGAGAATTTTTAAAGACACATACCTTTACTAGGACTCGAAGATACGGATCTTCACTTTTTGGTGCTTTACGCCGTACTTTACGGTCATTTTTATGATTTATATCGATACCCTGAAGATATATGTGATTTTTGCAATAAATGTGAACTTGTTTGTAATTAACCTTACCCATAATTCAGTCATAACATTGGCAGCATAAAAATAAAAGTTAAAAAGAATTCGACGCAACTTCAGACTTTCAATAATTCCAAGTTATCACTTTTGAAAAAATTCCCGAAAGCTACTCCTTGTGTTCGAAAACTTCCACCCGCCAATACCACATACTACTCAGGTACTATACTCCTGGATGATATATAAGACCATAAAAACACAGACTGATAACTTGAAGGAGAAAATAAATTTTAAAAGAATTGTAAAAATTACCATTTTTAATACTGGACTGCTCCCCCTCGCTAATCCTGCACTGAAACGAAACGAATTTACACATGTAGAAACATTTACATAAAAACAATGCAAACAGATGACAACACTAAAGAATTTATACAACACATCAGATTTATAACCGGAAAAAAAATTCCTGGAAACGTACTATCTTTTTCCAAGATCTCCACAGTACTATCTCCACCTCGACCTTATTAAGAGTTAAACGGGTAAAGTCTACTCAATGAATGGTAATTTCTAAAAAAGGATTGAAGTACATTCAGACAGAGCAAACGGCCATTTTATCTCAGACTGCACCACAACGCTCATACAATACCGGAAATCCCAAAAGCTCAAGAAGCAAAGAGTCGGCAAACCCAAACAGCATTTCTGCCAAACCATTCACAACATTAAATAAGTGGATTGATAATGTAGACAGAGAGAGAGGTGATACGTCTAAAGTACAGCATAACGTCTAGGTCATACAGCTCTTACGTGGGAGGTGCAACTGTGACACCACGTATCAAAGACACTCGTTACACTTCCACCACAGCCAATTACCACCTACAATCTTCTGAAGAATGAACAACCCTACCATTTCAAAGAAAACAAAATGACTGTCCCGCTATGACACTGTTCCTGCTACACTGACTGCACCACTTATGAAAAGTTTAGATCCCCAGGGCAGGATAAGCTCTTTGCATTCCCTCCACTGTTAGTTGTAGCTAATTATTATAGTGTTATTTGAGCAGAAAAAGTGAGTGGTTTTGTGATTTTAAGATAAAAATAGAGAGGAAGGGATTAAAGACAATTTTCTGAAATATTACAGGTAGTCAAGGATAGAGGGAAAGAGTGGGACACATTCCATGATGATAGATATTCTTCTCAGAGTTGTATATTCTTTCTTCACTTGTCATCCTTTGCATCTTTTTTTCATTTAATTCATTACAATTTTGATTTTAAGACAAATCACCAGTAGTAACTCATAGATTCCAGATAACCGGAACAGTCTGGTTACTTCACTATTTACTGTAGAATATAGCAGTAACTTGAATTCTTGCATAATAAAATTAATGAAATTAGGAAGCAGATTTCGCAGATTATTAGTTCTTTTCGCAGTGCCTTTTGCTAAAGATAAGTGAAAACTGAATAGTGGTAAAATCAGTTCGCATTATACGACCTTCTTACTTTATCTTACTTTATGGTGACACTGAAAGATAAGTAGTCTAGTTTTGAGGAGGAGTAAAGATTTCTATAATTAAGATAAAGAGATTGAGAGCTATAAAATATCTTATTATTAAAGAGAGGCCAACGATCATTGATTATTGCAGTTTGCGAAGTGTAGTATTATGAAAAATTAAAATATTAGGTAGGTAGACGAGTTATTTGCATACAGCTATACAAGTTATTTGCATATAGCATATGAGTTACTTTCAGAGAAAGGTATTGTTTCAAGTTTAATATAGATAGGTGGGTTTGCGGACGGAGTGAATTTGGAATTTTCTTTATTTATGTTCATTTTGGGATTTTTCTTTTTTTTTTTATTTTGCAAGGTTTTAGATTATTTGCTTTATTTTCCTTAGCAAAGTGAAGATTTTCACAATTTCCTATTTCGCATGCTTTTTTTTTCCTGTCATTACTACTTTTACTGGACTGCTAACTGTCTTTTCTAACGTTTGTGGCAAAATCGACAAAGTTTATGCAAGATTCTTTCGGATATTTTCAGAAATCCGATATCTGGTGTACGACATGAGTTTGATTAATTTGTCGCTAGATGAAATTATTGCGCGTCAAAGAGTAAGTTTTGACATTTTATCTTTGCTTATTTATATAAAGTAGCGCAGGTGCTTTTATAACGCTACAGAAGGAAATAGTAATTTCGTTTAATTAAACGCTTCTGGATAAAAATGCATGATTTTCGTTTCACCCATCTTCTTTCATACATCATACATGCGTGTGTTTATGATAGCAATAATGATTCCTATATTGTAACTAACTTTGCTGCATATAATAGATATTAGGCATAAGAAATCGTAATAAAAACAATATTTGATAAAGCAGGAAAATGCAAAGGCATATCATATCATCTAAAACATAAATTTTGCTTAGAAAGATAAGTAATACGAATTCCATGTTTACTTCCTTTATCTTCTTTTCAAAATCTAATTTTTTACTCGGTTTACCACTTTTCTTATTTGTTTTTATACAATCTTTAACCGTCTGATGGAACATTGTATCTCTTTTCCAGGGAGCAAACAAGAAACCAAATAGTTCCAGCAGTCGTTCCCGTAACAGCAGAAAGAAAAGGAGTTTTGTTTCGGAATATCCCATTACCCATTCATCATTCACGAGACCGGAGGCAAGTTTACTAGTAATTTATAATTTTATTGCTTCTAAAATACAAGACTCGTTACGTTATTAGCATGTATTCGCAAATTTTCAACCAAATAAAATCTTGCTGATTGTTAAAGATTTCAGGGATTAAATTTTGATTTTTTCTTTAAGTTTTCATTTCCTTTTATCGTTAAGTACTTTAATCTTATGTAGTTACTCTGTTAAAGTGGCATATATCATATATTACGGAGATATTTCAACTAAACATAACATAAGTTGTGCGCTGATGAACGCTAACGATATAAGGACGACGATGAACGTTTATTTCCATTATTCTTGTGCGGTGGTTTCGCTTTATTCCATAATTTGTAGGATGTACCGTCGGGTAAATGGGATCATAGTGGATTTGAGGAGATGTATGGAAATAGATCTGATGATTTATCTCCACATCCAGGAGTACAACGAGGTGCACGATTCAACCGTGTTGATTTAACAAAAAAAGTGCGACTTCACATCACAAATCTGGCGCCAACAGTTAATTCAGCCGACCTTGACGTATGTTTTGGTGTTAGTGATGTAGGTAGACCTGAGAACAGTTGTGGTCCAAGGTTGAGTTTGTTATGCTGTGAGGTGGTCTGAGGTTAAGGTCATTATGTGATGATCAAGCACAATATTAATCATTACGGAATTATGACCACTCATCCTCTTTAGGGCATTTAACGACATGGTTTAACACCGCCGCTTCTTTCGGGTTTTCCCATTTTCATCTTTTTCTACCGTCAACGGACGATGCACTGGATGGTTGATTGGATCTCATATGACAAGTCTCTAAGATTAAAGTAAGAGTGTGGATAGACCAGTCAAAGCAACACGAACAAGATGAACCAGTTTTGTCGTTATAGGACAGATTTTGTTTTCAATTTTTCAGAGGGCTTCCTGATAGCATTGTTACGGTTTGATCTTCCAGGAACTTTTCGAGAAATATTCGGTTATCTCAGTCAATGTTAATTACGATGAAATGGGAGCATCGGTAGGTACAGCTGATGTAGTGACTGATCGAGTTAGTGCTACGGAAATTGTCGCCAACTTAAATGGTGTTGCACTTGATGGTAAGTAGGATATTTATTTTAGTTTATTGGAGTGTTTCATGTTTAGAGCAACCTATCACTGTAGCTATGGAGAAGAGCTCCTGTATGCCTTTAAGACATGCGCTGCAAGATTGCTAAATTTTTCAGTCACATTGATCAAACGATAGAGCTGCTAGTGATCTTTTCTTTCGACCAATTTCTGAGCTTACATGTGCTTTTCTTTTGTATAAAATTCATATGTATTGTTGATTTGTTACCATCATATTTTTAAGTTGTATTTTACAGGTAAGGTAATGTCCTTTCATATGATTGATGACCAGACTGTCCCGGCCAGCCGTCATCTTCGTATTAAGAATCGTTTGGGTCCTCGAGAACGCTCATGGAATATAACTAAAAAGCAAAACCTTCCGTCGAAACGTAAGGTAAACGAGTTTTTAATAGGCTTTACTCTTAACTTCTTAACTGCTGGATAGGTTAATTGAACAATTTAGAGGTTATATAATTATTTCTGAGTGTGTTTTAAACGTGTTCTCAAATCATCAGCAATAGATCTGCTGAAGAACTGAATGCTGTTTCATTACGAGGTATAAATCAACGATTTCCATTTGCACATGTGTATTTGAAAAACTTTATAGCACGCAGCGGTCAGCATTCGTCATAAGATTGGTACAAAACGTTGGCAAATGACGGACGAAGAACTGGATCGAGAGCTCGAAGAATATATGAATAAGCGTAACTATCATAAGCAAGATGAGCAGAAAATGGAGATTTGATTTACTGTTTCGTTTCCTTTGCTAATACCGCCACTTAAACTGATTTTGAAATTATCATACTAAGAGCTTAACTAAACCTTAAACTACTAACTACTATATACGTACATTACTGCAAGAAGGAATTTGGAGGATGAGGAAAGGAAGATAGTTTATCTGTAATACTTGAACTGGTAGTTATAAGGAAAAAGAATGAATTAATTTTCAGGAATATTTAAAATAACTATTTAAATTAACTTTCTAAGAAATCCACTATGTAAGCGTTGGTCATCCATTAATTTCATTGTATGTTTCTATAGTCCCTTGCCAAAAAGCTATGATGTTATGTGCATTATGCATTGAGAGAAAAAAGAAACTATTCATGAATATCATGAATAGTTTTTTTTTTCGCCTCATACTTTTACGGTTCATGCATGTTGTATGCCCTTGTTTCATACCGCTCTTATTTTTAAATGTCTTTTCTGCAAGAATTTTAAATTCACTTCCACTGATTTTAACTTATCTTTTAATACTTAGATAAAATACATTTTTATCTCTGTTAACCAAGAGGTAGAGTTTTGTTTTAGTCTTATGGAAGCTTTTTCTAACTGATTGCCAAGATCAGTATGCATATAGCGAGTAACAGCAATATAGCTATTTTGCGTAATGTTTCAATTATGTGATGTCTTCAAACAGTATTATAAGTTAGTATGTTGTTGATTAATTTTTGAAACGAGACTATTTCATTGTTCCTTACCTCGTTCATCTTGACCCATTATTCGACTGGCAACAACGTTTTAGATCCGTTATCTGGATCGCGTGATTTTACGAAGAATTTCATTCTATTTTGTGTGTTTTTGGAAATAAAGCCAAGCATTTACAAAATAAAATTTTGTTGACAATTCCGGAAATTAATAGTTTTACCAGACATTTCTTCCAGGCTATTCATTTAGGTTACTTCTGCTGGCAAGTTCAAGTCGAGCATTTTCTCACTACAAGCTTAGGTTCTATGAATTTATCCAACATAGTTTATTCAGAGTTTCCATGTTGAAAACTTTCACCCAGTTACATGTTAGATGGAGAGACAATGTATGGAATTTATTGATGTTGACGAAATGGAACTGTTTATGAGCAGATATCTGGTAACGGTTTATGACGATCGGCTTTATATTAGGAGGGATCATATGCAAACTTTATCTGCGATAAATAAGGTCAGTTAAAGGAAGATTTGGTGAACCGTCTTTAAAACTTTGGTTCGTGATTTGAAGTGAGGACAAGTAATGGGAGTTGTGGTACTAGACATTAATAAAAATTGTTCTCAATTGGAGGTAACAGTCTAGTCAATAGAATGCGTTGGTATGTCTATCATTTTGGACCGTTTAATTCTGTGCTTTTTGCAGTTGTCAAATGTATCGTTTGATTCGATTTTGCCTGATGATTTCATCTCCATTGTATTTGAATATATGAAAAGACAAGATAAGGTTAATTTTTGCTTTAAAATGAGTAATTCATTACCAACGAGAAAAACAAAAAAAATCTGAAATATCAGTAAAAAAAAATTACACTTTAGAAATTATTGCATACTCCCGAGCAGTCCTCATCAGTCTTATCAATAAAATGTGGTGGCTGTAAACGGTTAACATTACTTGATAGTTTTCCATACATCACTGTATGTTTTCTCGATGATGACGCATCCGATACACTTTCACCTTCATTGGTATTATTAATTTTACCAAATATTCCAGTTGTTCATTTAAATGGTTTTTGTATTTCGTTTGGTCCAGAAGGGTTTTTAGATCGTTTGTAATGCTTATTCTAACATTCTTAGTGCATAATGTAATTCATCTTTTTGATGAAAGTTATGAGTTGGTATAGTTTTCTGTGACACTTATAATTTTTTTTTTAATTTACTATATGTGATATTAGTTATAATATCCTATATTCCGAAAATTTGAACTATATATTTTAGAAAAGCTGTTTAAATGTGATGCATTGCTTGTTATCATTAGCAGTTTCGCTGCATGATCCATGGAGCACAACGCGATTGCTCAACAAAGTGTGTCCTAAAGTCTTACCAGCTTTACGGCGTAGTGCACAAGCATCGATGGGTTATCTTGATATTATGTCGGTAAGGTCTTGTCATATGCTTATGTTTTGACGACTTGCGAAGATTATTTAATTTGCAGTATAAAGCTGTTTTTTTTTTCTTTTTTTTTTGCTGTCATCACTTTTCAATAACATGTAATGAATCTCATTTTATTGTAAGGTACTGATTTCGTATGTTATGACAGCACCGGTTGAAGGTGATTGCAATGTTGATGTCGAGCTTCATGCTAATTTTCCAGTGTTGAAAAAACTTGTTGATACAGTGATAACAATGAATGAGACGCTACAGAGTGGTACACAGTCGAAGTAAGTGTTCAACTGCAGTGAAAAATACCTAATATCTACAAAGTTTCTCTTGTTTAAACTTCACTCCACAAGTCTCATCGCAAACCAGCAGCAGTGAGTTTGGAGCATGTTGTGATGAGTAGTTCTGAGATTTCATATGCACGAAAGTAGTATTAACAGCTTAAATTAGGTAGTTAAGACGTAGTAGTTTGAAATTTGGTATCTTGTGTTATTTAATACAGATTATATAAATTATTAAGTAGTCATAGGTTACAAATTTTATTCATTTTTCTCCAGCTGTTCAAAAAACGCATTTTTATAAGGTCATACTGCGTATTTCTACCGGTCAGCACAATTTAAATAGATGAAGCATTCTTAACTTATTCTATGAATCCATGACCATTTCCAAATTCGTAAACTGGATTTCATTCTATTATCTATTTGCTTTGCTTTTAGACGAAAATTTTCCATGGGCTTTGAATTTTGAATGTTTGACAAGTTATTGGGACTTGGAAACTTTGTTTTATCTTCATTATGGCTTGAGAATATAGAGCTAATTCTCTGATTTTTTCATAGCTTGTTCTATACTGTGCATTGCAGATGAAAAAGGAGAGGAGGTTTTGGGGATTTTTTGGTGATTTCAGTTAATGCTGTTTATATCATAGTCTATTTTGTGAAATTTAATTTTTTATTACAATATCCAGTCAAGCAGTTAAATCTGCACTTCAAATAGCTGCTGAATTCATGGTTATCATACCGAACTACACCAATCCCTCTGTTATTAATAAAATGATCATTTATCTCAATAAGAATATTGAACAGATATCAGCTAATTTCGCAGCGATAAGTTCTACAATTTGGAACAATGAATATCAAGTGAGTTGTTTCCTATGTAACTCATTATTCCAACTAGCTATAAAGCTGTTTTCAGCAATATTTCTGAAAGAAAATTAGTTACAGTTTGACCTTCTTCATTTGCAGACGAAAACACCCAATCAAACAGATGCGTATGTGATAGCTGTTTCTCTTTGTGATCGGCTTACATGTCTCAATGTTGCTGAAGATATCGGAGTTGTTTCACCATTGTTTAAGTAATTTTTTCTTGAAACTGTTATTTATAATTATGGAAGATGATAGCAAATATGCAAAGCATTTATGAGGAAAAGAGATTAATTGAATTTAAGCTGCACATTTGTTAAATTACGTAAGAAATTTCTGCCTAATACATAATCATTTTCATCCAGTAAATTAGATTAGTAAATATCTAATGGAAGAAAAATGATTACAGAGACTATTGAACATTTCCACCTTAGATAGTCATTATTTTCAATACTTTCTTTTTTTTTTTTCAGAACTCCAAACAATAAAGCTGTATCGAATCCATTGACTCCTCTTAATCAAAAAGTAGTTGCAGAAGAAACAACTCCAGACATGCAGGAAAGGCGTATTGCTAATTTTATCAAGTAATTATTCTTTTTTCTCTTCTGCATCATAATGATTTTTACTATACTATCATATTATATTTATTAGTTTTGTTTGGAACTGTCATAATAGTGGAATGATTTGTGAATGAATGAATTTAGCTTTATCACTAGATTCAGAATTCTCGAAAACAGTTTTCTCCAATATTTTTTTAATCGTCCAAGAAATTTGTTTTTTTCTTAAAGCATCGATACACCAATATCTCGATCTTTGGATAAAGTGGAAATGTTTAACAATCCTACTGCTTCACTAAAGGAAAATATTCTTGCTATTCCGAAAAACTCGGAAAGGAAAAATTTCCCTAAAGTTAGTTCTAATTATGATATAGATATATAACATAAATGGCGGGATGTATAGGAGGACCGAACTTGATTTATGTTATTTGTGATTTTTTTGTTGGTTACTACTTAATTCTAAATGATCTGATATCTGATGTTATTCTCATTTAAATTTTAGGCTTTGATATCGATATCTAAGAAAAAAGAATTGCCATGTGGGAAATTGAATCCTTTTACTGATGTAAAATATCGAAAATGTAAGAAGAAAGATGTCAAGGGTCAAACAAAAATTACTAATTTTTTCAAAAAATATTCATGATTTGTTTTAGAAGTTTTATCTGAACTATTCATTTTACAAGATATCTAATTTAATTTAATGATCTCATTTTTCTATCTTGTTGCAGATAGACTCTATTTTTTTATGAATACTGTAGCATGAAAGTGCGTCATGATAATAGGCTTGTTTTGATATGTAATTGTCTGTTCAGTTGCTCAGGATATAATACATATTGAAGAAGTGAAATACGTAGGTTTTAGATGAAAACCTGATATTAGCCTCTCATCTAGTACTTAATGTGATTATTGAAATATTAATCGTCCAATATGAAAATGAAAGAAGTTATTATTTCGAAAATTGAAGGATTTAATTCTTCACCTTGTAAATGTTCATTATTATAAATCATATAATGAAACTTTTCACATAAAAGTATTTTTTGTTTTTCTTACAAATTATAACGAAGGCGAGTAAATGTAAAGCATCTAGAAAATCTCATATGTAGTAAGTCATGCATGATTTTTATGTCCACAGAAAAAAAAAAAACAGAAAATTCTTTTAATTTGGAATATTTGAAATATTTTTGATTTTTTAACAATATTGTATTACTATTGGTGGGCAACATTCAACATTTCTGTTACTATCAACCTAAGTTTTCTCATGTATTAATAGCTATTATGAATATGTTTGATTGTTCTTGTTTGAATTCTTGATTAATGAATCTAGCAGTTATCACTGCTAGTCTTATATTTGTTTTGTTTGCCACGATTTTACGATATTAGTCAGATTGCATGTTGAGGTTTTCTATTTATATATAATATAAAAATTAATATTGTATTGAATGCTTCCATTTTTAAGATAGTTATATGTATATATGTGGCCGAATAATTCAGTAAGTTTTGTTTACTTGTGATGCTTGAGAAATATCTAAGATTGTGCCAAAATTTCTACCTGTAATTCTTACATTTAAATCGCGATGCAAATTATATATGTGGATCTATAGTAAATCAATGAACATCAATCATATGCTTGTTTTTGCTATTTCAATTTTGATTTCATTTTTCAGTTTTGTTTTCAGAATATTTCATTCTTTTTTTACTTCAAATAAATCAACACTATAAAAGCACCGTAAACCTATTCATTGGAGAGAAATATTTTAACAAATGCAAAAAGAAATGTTTTCGGATAGTATATTTTGCCCATTTCTTTTTCTTTACTCTAATTAAATCCAATAAATATGACTATGATGAAAGTTAGTGCAATCTTGACAATAATTTATGTTTTAGATGATATGATATGCCTTTTTCTGCTTTATCAAACATTGTTATTATTTATTACAATTTCTTATGTCTAATATTTATTGTATGAGACAAAGTTAGTTAATAACAATATGAAAAATCATTATTGTTATCATAAACACATGTATGTGTGATATGTGAAAGAGGGTGGCAAATCTCAAATTGTGAATTCTCTAACCTCTCGGCTAGATGGATGCTCTTAAAGAAACAACTTTTTAATTATAATTTTCTCAAAGCTGAAACAAATGGTTAAATGAAACCAGATTTAATAGAAAGCAAAAAGAATAATTTGACAACAAACGATTTCATTACATGTCATTCAATTTTAATTTTCTCAATTTTTTCTATCCTAATTTTTCCTTTCCTTATCTTAATCCACTTCTGAAACTAATTTCTCTGCTAGACTATTCTTTTAATTAGCTGTACATTAATATTATCAAAACTGTAAAATTAATTTATAGGAATTATTGAAATTAATTTTGAAAAGGAATAAATTGACATTTAAAACCAAAAATTATCACTGAATAACTATGGTAAATCCATATATGATGTGCATTAATTTTATTTTAATAGAAATTGATAAGTAAAACAAAATGGATGAGAAGTTAGTCCAATAAATTTAGCTTAATTTATTTGAATTCATTTAAGAATCGAAAATGTGAGGACTTTGAAGTCGAATTGTTAAAAAATTATGGTTGAAATTTATCGAAAGCAATTGACAGCTATCAACCAATAATTTTGCAGTTTTAATAGAAAATACCTAACAAAAGACGGTATAATTTCATAGAGTTTATAAAAAAAAAAAAAAAAAAAAAAAATGGAAACATTGTTGATCGTTTCATAAATACATTAAGATAAATGAAAATTTAATGATGGTAAAGAATATAGCGTGAATTAAATCGAAGATATCATGGAAGTTTTCGAGCCAAATATTTCCGAAACCTTCCGAGATATCCCAGAGCTTAATACGCTTTCGTAAGCTTTTTTTTTTTTCTCTTTTCTTTTGCTTTTTTCTAAAAAAAAAAAGGATAAATTTTCCAGAGATAACAATGAACAAACTTTATAAATTGTAGTCTATTTGACGAAATGATTCGAAATTTTACTGTTAAGTTAGCAAAAAAGATTTTAATTTTGTTAATTTTTTTCAGGTTAAAAATTATTGAACAATTTGATTGTCCTCACAATATGCAACATTCTACTATTGATATATTTTCACATACTTTGTTCATTCCTACTTAGACAATTAATGATTTGAATAATTTAATTTTAACTACTCAACATGTAATAGTTAATTTTGTCTGGCTTACTTAAAACTTTAACAAATATGTTGATTTGGATGATAAACAATAAATAAATGAAATAAGAAAAATGATTGCAAACGTAATGTTGAAAATGTAAAATTAACAATGGATAAAACATTGCATGAGTAAGCTAATCGAAATAAAAAGAAATGAAAGGAATGAAATAAAGCATTTTTGTAATTGAATCATAAATGTATGTTATGACTGTCAAAACGCAATTTGACATTAAAATCTATTTCTTTTCTTTTTCTGCTCTTTTTTTTTTGAAGGATATGTATGATATAATTGATGTATTGGTTTGGAACTTTTTAATTAAAATATTTTTAATTTTCGACTGATAGCAATATGACAAAAATTTTTACGTTAGCTTGATAATAATCAATAATTTAAACTGAGCTTCATTAATTCAAATTTTCCATCATTTTCTTTATTTTTATACATCTAACAAAAAATTAATTAAAAGAAACATTTCATATCTTTCTCGTTGATTACTGTTTGTTTATTCAAAATGATAAAATGCAAACAAATAATGCATTTGAAATTCTATGGATAATTGATTGGATATAATCGAGCAACTTTTGATGAATTAATAAATCATGCGACATTTTCAACTAAACTCTCATTGATCGGTAAATATATGGTAAAAATCACGAAGATACGAGGTGAGAAAAGTTTAAACAAACAAACATTAAAATATGAATTGAAAAAAAAAAGTGTCAAAAAAACCAGAATCAAATTTCAATGATAGTTCCATTTCTATCATTCAGGAATAAAATCATATTTATCAGCATTTTATAATAAGCAGTAAAGTATTGAAATGAATAAGGTATGCAATTTTCTTGGAATCAAAATTTATCGTAGTTAAACGAAAGAAAATATGATTGGGATGAAAATGAAATGAATTGTTCCTATCATTAATATGATAATCGTCATCCTTAACTTTTGTTTGCAAAAATTTGTGAAATGGATAAGTTAAATATGATAAATAAGACAATCAGATGACTGTCAAATTCCTTATCTTTTGGTAATGAAACTTCTTATCATTTTGTTATGCTTTAGCATTGACAACTTTTTCCTCCTCCTTCTTCTTTTTTTTTTTTTAATGATATTAAAACTGTTAGCTAAAATAATTAATCACGTAAAGCAAAAATTATTCATGCGCTATCACCAGAGTGAATATGTTGTTAGAATTACAATCAATAGGAAGAATTATCATAAAATTTGTAAATTCTTATTTAATCCAAAATTTGACTAACCTAAAAGTAATCGATCGAAATATTTGATCAAAATTTTAAAACTATAAAAAATAATATAAATTTTTTTTTTTTAATTTTCACAACACCTAATGAATATAATTTATGATGTACGAGCAAAGAAAAAAAAAATAAAACAAGATTATAGTGAAATTTTTTTTTTTCATAACAAAAAAAAAATTTTGTTTTGTTTTCAACAATTTTTTTTTAATTCTTCAAAAAAAAAAAATAAAAGAGAAAATGCATCAAAAAGGGAGCATATTATTAGCAAAAAACAATATTGTATATATCATAACGGAGAAAAAAAAAAAACGAGAAACGTAACATTTTAGCATAAACAATAAACGCTTGGTCAATTGTTGCAGAAATTTTGAAGTCAAAATAAAAAATTTCTTTTCCAGACGAATGTATTTTTGAAATGCAGGTCGTTTTCATGAATGGTTTTGTTAAGCGATGATGCTCGACAAATTTTCAACATTTTTATAATCCTCAATCCATATTTCATTCCTTTCATTTGTTCGTTTCAAGCAATTTTCAATATTTCCCTTTCTTCTTCGTTTCGTTTTTTTTTTTTTTTTTTTTTTTTTCTTTTTTTTTACGACACCCAACGGATACGTTACAACATAACAACAAAAAAATATTATCAAAAAAAAAAAAAAAAAGAAAAAACGATTTCATTTTTATTCACTCCAATTTTGCTAAACAAAGAAAAAAGCAATCTAAATTCAAAAATGTTAATACTGAATCAATCGGTAACTAACAAAGTTGTCAAGTGTTTCCTTTTTCATTTTTTGCTTGAGAATTTTCATTTCATTTTAATCAAATATTGCCTTGTTCACACTTTTCCTCTTTCTCTTCCTTTTCATTGTGTTTACTTGTAACAAATAAATTTTTAATCAACTTTCATGCACATACAGATAAAATTATCAGTTTCAATATGATAAAGAAATAAACAAACAAACAAATCTAGCGGAAATCTTCTTTTCCCTTCATTTACAAATGATATAAAAGGAAGTAAAGCGAGATTATAAGATGATAAAATCATACACCAATATTTCGGCTAATCAATCATCCACTATGGCAATTCATTTTCTATGCATGTATCAATCAATTGATATATATATATATATACGATGAATAAATATTTTTAAACAGTTGTAAAAGAAAAAAAAAGGCCAAACTGAAATGAAATGATTGAGATAAATTGGAAAGAAAATCAACATTTCGTCTAATAGATACAAACTCATATAAACAAAAAGAAATAAAAATATAGTTGTTCGTTTTCATTAACCCAATTAATTTCAACAGTAATAATTGCTATAAAACCGAAAAAAAACTCCAAAATTTAGTGTCTCCAGCAAAAGTAGAGCTCGAGAAAGAAAAAATTCAATTTGGAAAAAAATCTTATTGTTTTCCCGAGAAATTTCCTAAGAATTTGTTCCAAAATAGTGCATATCATATAAATATTGCCAATATATGAGTCAAATGCGAAGAATATAAATTTATTGGCTTTTAATTGACTAGCTTAATTAAAAAAAGAAAAAAAAAAAGGAAAAAAGGAAAAACTCCACGAGGATATGCATTTATTGATATGACATACTAAATATGTTGATACCACTTCTAATGTTGAAAACTGGCATAATGACGCATTAAATGGAATGCATCTATAATGGACTTGAGTAAATAGTGATAAAGTTTATCAGTAACGATATTAGTATCAATCCGTATTATTCGTATGGAATCGTCCTTGATGCGTAAATGCAGGTTTATGCGATTATTAACGATGCAATTTTCATTCAGCACATTTCAGTATTTCAAATTCAACAAATTTTAAGAAAACTACACTTCCATATCTATTTTATTTGCTAAAATATATCGGTAATAATCTGATATGCATACATTAATTTGGAACAGTAAACAAAAAGAAAAAAAAAAAAACATATTCATCACTACTATGAAATAATTTTGAAACGAGAGAAAATTGAAAAGAAAAAAAAAACAAAAAAAAAAAAATGAAAGTACATCTCATGAAGAATATGAAATTTCAGTAAAAGAAAAAAAAAGTAAACAAATCAAGTTTTGACAAGAGGAGGAGTAATTATAGTTCGGAATTTCAGTAAAAGAAAAAAAAAAGGTAAAACAAATCAAATTTTGACAAGAGGAGAAGTAACTTGCAGCTCGATTTTTTTTTTTTTTTTTTTTGTCGAATTGTACTACTAAAACGATGAACATGTATACCACATATGCCATAATGTCTGCGATTTTCCTATAATTTTAAAACAAGAAATCTTTAATTTTACCAGAGTTATAATTTCAAATTTAAAATAATAGTTTTTAATAATTTGTAAATAGTAATATTATTAGAGCCGATTCCTTCTCAAATAAATATATTCTCACTTTACGAAAGAAATATTACAAAACTGCATGAACAAATTAGTTAGGGAAAAAAAAGGAAGGGAATATTTGCCGAACTAGTTTAGTTAATGCCCTAAGATGAATCTTCATTTCATGTGAATCATTCAAGCCTTACATAAAAAACATTTGTTTCCTTTTCAATCTTAAATCTTACTAATGCTAAATGCTAGCACAGGTGTTAGATCATACAGATGAACTAATAATTTAAACCTAAAAAGATGACGAATGACCCAACAAAATTTACTATTACTCGTTCGTTATTCAGTAAATTCTTATTAACAATTGAATTTATAGATTTTTTAAAAAAAAAGTACCTTTGTATGAATTGAATAACCTAACAGTATATATTACTATACATAATCTGCACGCTGCCATCCCAAATTTCCCTTACAGTCACCTGGCGAAATGTCCTAAATTTTAAACAGTTTGAACGTTTTAATCAAAAATGAACAATGATAATTAGTGGTATTGATAAATAATTTGATAATTATCTTTTTGGAACTCTAGTTCCCGTCTTATCAGTGTGCATTTTGATTTTGCAGCCAGTAAAATGATTAGTTTTGACAAAAAAAGAATGAAAATATGGACAAACATATGATTAATAAATGTCAAAACACTTCATTCTGTTACATAAGAAAAAGAGAAGTCTTGATTAGAAGGATTTCAAAAAATGTCGTACTTTATCACTGGAAACTGTTGACGTATATAGTGTAGGAATTTTGGGCGCATTCGAATCGATCAGCGTCAATTTTTTGTCTGTATCACGCATTTCCGGAGTAGTTTCCTAAAACCATCAATGATAATAATCAATAGAGTTTTTTTCTTGACTGCTCCTTTATTATCTAGATCAAATAACTCAAAATTTTTACAGAACACCTGCAGCTCGATAAGTTTGAAACTGTATAGATTTAAAAATTCAAATTAGCATTAATAAAATATAATATGCCTTATAAGCCTACCTTCCTCAAAAATTCCGGAATTTCAAACATCTTCTCTCTACCATCAATATGTTCTCGTTTATTTTGTTTTCTCGAACCAGTACTTCTCATAGTTTCAGGTAACCTAAGATTCTCAACGGCAGTATCTTCACCACAATATGGAATATCAGCCATAGCTGTACTGGGCGTTCGTTGAAATGTTCCTAACGATTTCCGCCTACAATATATATATATATATATATAACAAATATGGATCATAGCATTTCGATTCTTGTTTAAAAGAATTAAAAGTAAAATCGTAAATTCTTACACATCAAAGTTACCTTACTTTCTTGATCTCATTTTCGTATATATACGATGAGATCAAGCTAAAGCGCTAATGACAGAAAAGGAAATACAAAAATTAAAATAGATATTTTGTTATATTGATTTCAATCGTCAGTAAGTTATGATCATTTCATGTAATTCTTACTAAAGTATATACATGAAATAGTCTGAATGATTAAAAAGAACAAACAATATTTTGCAAACCTTATTTCATCAGTATAACTGGAAGGTGCTAATTGAGAATTATTTTGACTTCCAGAATGGTGTCCACGTTGTTGCTGCAGTGATGCTGCATGATGCTGATGCGATGATGATGAGGATCCAGTATTATCGGATGACGATGGCTCACGATTTGTTACTGCATGACTCGCTTTTCGAACAAATTTCAACAAGCCAGACGTGTGATCGGTCTGAAATAGAGTACGTTTCTCCTTACATCACGCATTGTTTCTTCAATTTATCTGCATTTATATTATTATTATGCTTTTCAAGAGCGACTGTGATTAGTTTGCTTCACTGAAATTACTAAAATACTATGTAAAGCTATTAAAACTCTCTTCATCTATTTTATGCAATTTTAAATTTAAAAAAGTAACCTTAGCATTAGAATAAGAACGTGCTGCATTTGTCTTGCCCGTACGTAAATCGAAATCAGCTGGTAGTTCAACAAACGCAACATCACCATGCTGATAGAATGGTAAATTCATTGCTGGCGTTGAAAACTGTGTTGAATGAAATTCTTTTGCAATTTCACGTTTCGGTGAATGCCTTCTTTCTAAAAAAAGAAAACCAGAGTTATACAGAATTATTATATAAATTTTCATGCAAGTAAACGAGCTTGAATTTTATCTTACCAAAATATGTTTTCAAAAAAAAAAAAAAAAAAACTAAATCGCAGAAAGTAACCTTGATATTTTTGCTGAGTCATCACTAAAACAAATCGTTGTCGTATTGTACCAACAGTTGTCTGCCAGCTAACAGCATCGAAGGAGCTTGGAAGAACAACAACACATGAATCATAATCAATTAAATACTTGGCCAAAACTGGCCTTAACACAGCATTCAATGAAAGGCCATGTCGGGCTCGCAATAGTACGATTCTGAAGAATCAAAGATTCAGAAATAATGTGAAATTAAGCTTGATCAAGCTATCAAGTAATAATCTCGTAATATTCGGGACTTGAACACGATATTTTATAAAACTTCAAGTAAAGTCCAGTTTAAACATCACCTTGGTTGGATAATGTCATGATTTCATTATGACTCAGAAATTTTGAATTAGGCTAGAAAAAAATATTGTTTCGTACTAATCGAATAAAATACGACAATTTGAAGCAGTAATAATAATCTAATCAGTAATCACAGATGGTACATTTATCAATAATTAATTCAAAGAAATATTTAGTCACACGATTATGAGCACAAATCATGATTGCATTATTGAATAATCTAATCATTACGATTGACAACTTTTAGAGGTAAAAATATTAACCTTGAATTTGTGGATGTACCCGTTTTATTTGAAGCATTCGGAATCATTATTTCAGCGGCAAAAAGTAGCACAGGTAACAAACGTACACATCGATTATTTAATGCATCGATAGCTTGTCGAGCTGGGTCAATCGTTGCACCCGACTAAAAAAAAAAATTCCATGATTTTTACATGTTCCATAAATTTCCAAACAAATTTGAATATTTTAAAGGAACCATATTCTATTACTTAAAAGAAAAAGAATGACTGAGTCCGGTATAACATTGAAAATTTTCAAGAAATTTCATGCCCAATAGTTAATATTACAGAAGAAAACTTTCATAAAAATGTTTAATGTTTAAAATGTTCAAAGTCAAAAGAACAAACGACTCTAAAGTCATATTTTCGTGTTCTATTGCTAAAAAAATATGTGAACAAATTAACGTGTCAAAATTCTATCCCAAAAGCAAATTCACTGATAAATTAACCTGTGCATCAACAACTTCGGTAGCACGTGGATCCATACCACGTTGAACAGCAACTGTTGCTGTCCATTTGCCCACTGACTCCGTCTGAAATATTACTCAACAAATAAATAAACATCAACTATATAAGATCTCCTTTTTGTACTATTTTTTGGTCAATTTTATTGAAAAGAACCAAATTTTCATAATTTAATTCAAAAAATTGAAAAATAAGTAAAAAAAATGCTAACTGGATCATGAAGAGCGATTTGTTCCACACATGGTGCATCGTTAAGCATTAATGTGCAAAACTTTGTACATACTTCAGTAACTCTTGAGCTAGAAGTACTTGGTGGTGGAGCACCAGAATGGGCCGTCTAAAGATTGAATTTATTAGTATCAAAATTGTTTCATAAAATGTTGTTTGTAACGTTCAAAAGAAATTATTAAAACGATTAGTTTCATAAATTGCTTTATTTTTAATTAGTTCATGATTTATATTTTTTTTGTTAAAAGACAAATTTATATAGGTACAATTTTCCTTTTTTTTTTTTTTTTTAAAAAAAAAGTGAAGGTAATTAGATTTAGAGGAATGGAAGAAGTCAATGGAAATAAACAAATTATGTTAATCAGAAGAAATATATAAAATAGGGATTTAAAAATAAAATGATTAGTCCGATCAAATACTGAAATCTTTATAGGAATTCAATAGATGCAAATTCATTCAAGCAAATGTTTCAAATGAACGATTGATATTCAGGTTAGCATGACACCTACTAGTAAACTTGCTATGATCAGAACTAACCAATCGTCCTGGTAATAATTCGAATCAGAAATAACTACAGTTTAACTATCGAACAAACATGTAAATAGACAATCCACACACAACGTAAATTATAGGAAGAAATGCACAGTACTATTACACTTCACAAACAATCACAGTGACAATCCAAAAAATTTCAAAAACTACCGAAATATTCCGAAAATTTTCGCAATTTTTAGTTTGAAAAAAAAAAAAAAAAAACGAATAGCTGGATCAGAAAACTATTCTGAATGTAAAGCATTTCTATAAAAGCCACTGAAAGCGTTCAACAAAATTCAGCATTTGCAAGAAATGTCTGAAAAATGTTGAAAGAATAAAATATAAAACAAAACAAAAAACAAAAAAACAAAAAAAAAAAAAGGCGGAAAAAGAGACCTCTGTGAGCAATAAACGTTGCTTCCCGGTAACAGTGAAGCCACGATGTCGCAGCGAATCGTGTTTACTTAGTGTTCCAATTCTTAGTTCAGTGTCAGACCTAGCAAACAATGGATCTCGCATACTTCCCGCATAACCTGATGAACCCAACTGTTCCTGTGTTAAAGATCGTCGTGAACTGGGATGAGATCTGGAAAATCGAGGTGACATGTATTGCTCAGTTGTCTCGTGCACCAGTGAGCTACCATGATCGTAGTTTTGTTCCAATGAATCACTGCCATCTGACCAAGCTTTTTTCCATCGTGAAAATCTGGGCTTGAGACCATGCCAGATTAACGACTTACGCTTCTTATCTCCGCGACGCTTCTAGAAACGAAAAACAAACAAACTGAACAAACAAACCAAACTAAATCATTCATTGCATATAGTTAGTTGCTGCATACTCAACAAATTTAATTTTACATATGGAAATCAAAATTTTCATTTTGTTTTTTTTCATTACGATTATCCGGATAATCAATGCAATACGTCTTCGTATGCTGACGCGACTGCACGCTGCATATTAGCTTTCGAAAGCGCTCATGATACCAACCATTAAACTTCCCCATTTTATTTTCGCCGCTGGCTGATCATCAATGATGGATTATTTGACTTTCAGCGGCAAACATTTGACAATGTATTGTTTAAGGTCATGCTTCGACATAGCCGAATATTGTCCCATTTTTCGTAATGAGATGAGATGCCTTCGTTGAATTTTGTGAAAGTTATTTTATAAAACTGAAGTAAAATGAAAAATCCAACATCTGCATTCCTTGCTAATTGTAACTATCAATTACTTTCTTTTCTTTTTAAATTTTATTTTCATAATTTATTTAAGAAGATACTAAACAATTTTTATCACGACATGCAAGAAGGATCAGAACGATTAGTTTCAAAAGTATACCATATTTCCTGTTTTTCAAAAAACATGCCAACTTTTGTTAAGAAAAAAAAAGTGAAATTTAAACAAAGAGAAGCAGAAAGAAAGAGTGAAGAAGGAGGAGAGAGAGAAAGAGAGCGCAAAAAACTAATTCATGCGTTCAAACAATTATAATAAGATTACTACCTAAAAAGCAAGTTTACTGTTTCGTTTATCAGATATTTGTTATTGCACTTTGATCCAAAGCTTTTTTCCAGCACCTTCTATTTGAATGAACAATAGCAGTTAGATTTGTAGAAAAAGAAATGCAAAGAGACAGAACATAAGCAATTAATTACAGTCTTTTTTTTTCTTTTTTATTTATTTACTTATTTTTGAGATTAATTTAAATAAAAAGACAAACTTACCCGAGAAGTTAATTCACTTGTCGTTGGAGTTCCGGATATTTCATCGGCGCCATCATCGAATGTTGGTGCTATGCCACCAGCACGCAGATAACGTGGCCAACAATCATATTTTAACAAATGAAAAATCTGAAATATTTAAGTATATCGAATCAAATGAAAACAGTATGGAAAATATTAAATAATTTTCATTGAAACTGGCATGTTCATTATTGCCTTTAACAAAATGATTGCATGTTGAATAGGTAAATATAAGAATTTCTCAAAGAAGATTATGTGTGTCGGCTGCTAACATTTAATTCATTTTACTCAGTAAGTCAATCAGGATTTGAAATATTTCTTAATTTCACAAATCTATTAAAGTTTACTTTTTTTGAAATGTGATACAACTCCATAATGCGAAATAACCCATCTCTTCAATAAAGAAACATCATGTAAGCTAACCTGATATTGTGCGACATCATAAAGTTGAGGTGTAAAGTCTCCTGACATAACTGCATCTCTGATGCTTTTGCTTGTACTATTATCAATATTCACCGGTTCTATACTATTTGGTGCAAAATATCGCTCAAAAATCTCACGGCCAACTTCTACTCTTTTTTCCAACTAAAAAAAAGATAAGTGAATGCAAAATTCATGCATGTTATAATGTTCTTATTTTTAAAATTTATTGGTATCAAAAATAAAAAAAGATCACTTCTTGATTTTTAAAATATTCTATTTATTGTTACGATTATCAAAAATGAAAAAAGAACTTTATCATCCGTTTTTTACAATAAACAAATTTAGCATTGAAAACTTGCCAAAAATAAGAAACAATAAAAATTATCAACAAAGTGGAAAAAATCAAAGAAAATACGAAGAATTTCAGAAAAAAAAAATTCGTTTTCAAATAAGTTAAAAATAAATGATACAAACATACATCTGAATCAGGAATAGAACGATAATCCTCCACAGCCATATAAAAATTAATATTTTCAGCACAAAATTGCTGCTCAAGAAATTGCTGTAAAAATATGGTAAAAATTTAATTAGGAAATTATTTTATGTTAAATTAATTTAGAATTAATAATTGAAGTATGGCTATTTTATTAGAGAATATTGAGATTTATGATAATATTTAACCTGAAATGGTTTTCTGTATGATTCGTTGTGCAATATCCTTTCAACATCAGTGCAAGTTCTATCACTTGTTTGATTGCTATTGCTACGCGTTTCACTATCACCATTCGCCATTACCATTGATTCAACTACCTTGTTAACTTGGCCTTCCGCCTTTATCGCTTTAAATTTTATTATGATCAAAAAAAAAAAAAAAAAAAAAAAAAAAACAAATAAATAAAATCCTTTTCGCAAGATTAGTTTTTTTCTTTTTTTTTTCAATTAAAGATATCATTAAAGTTCATTAGTCTTATCATTCCAAATATTTCATTTCCTTTCTGGGAAATTAAAAGACAAATTCATTTGATGATATTTCTTCTATGGCTAATCTTTTCTTGGATGCTAATTAATAAGTAAGAGTCCGGAAAGGAAAATAATTTGAATGTTATTATATGTCAAATATAAACTCAGCATATTTTTAACTATAAAAAAAAATTTTTTTTTCAAGTCGTACTGGAAATAACTGCGTGCTGTTCTGTTTTTGGTGGAGACGATTGAATTACTTTGCAACATTCAGGGCAAGAAGAGTATTTTGTATCTGATGAACGGAAAACATTTCTGAAATACCATTCCTATTTGCAACATTTTCATTTATAATGAATGAATGACAGATAACATGATTATTTGATCAGGGAGTGTAATATGTTTGAAAAAAAAATAACCAATTACCTGGTCAGCTGGTATGTTACAATCGAATGACTCAATTATTGAAATAATAAGATTGTATTGAAAAATTAATCAATAACTCGATAATTATCAGATGAACAGAAAACATACTATGTATCATTGGATAATTTCTTATTATTATAATTTAAAATTGTTTGATATGGAAGTGAGAAACTTGAGCAATCTTACTTGAATGATTCATTATGACATTCGTCTTTTAGTACACCACTGAAGACGGCATCGGTCGTTTTGTCACAGAAACCTTCAAAGAGATTTAGCAATAACATGAGGAAAGTTTTTTTTTCAATTAATTTTAGCTTAAGCAAACAATGTTAATTTGGAAGAAAACTACACACACACACACACACACACAATTATGACACTTTAAACAAAAAAAAAAAAAAATGAAGAAAAGCAAAATTTGAACTGACCTTCTGCTGAACAGTAATTGCCGGAATTGGTGAATAACGCATTGCATCCATGCCCGGTAGTACGGAATTGTTCAAATTTTGTCGAACCAATACACTTCACTGCTTTTTTCTTTCCTTCAACTTTAGCTGGCGTAAAAATACTATCACCCTATAAATATCCATAAAAATTCTATTAAATTGAAAAAGAAAGCTAATATGCACACAAATCGTATTATATCCAGAAAAGAAAAATGAACTGCGTAAATTATTCTATTTTTTTTTTTTTGCATATCATTCCTACTATCCAATTTTCTTCCATCATCTATCTTATCTTTATAAAATTTTCCATCTATTTCTTTCCCTGTTTCCTAACTCCTATAAGTTTGACCTTTCTGTAACCTTCACTGTCTCTTAAATGTTCGATTAGAAGTAATATTAATCATTGAATCATCTCCTAGAAACGATCTCATTAATTCTCGAAGAAATGATTCCACAACAGCTTTGTGTAGAAAAGAAAGGTGGGGGAGGAGGGGGAAGGGAGAAGAGAAATTCACTTAGTAGTGCAAAAATCCATTAAACTAGCCGCCTAAATATCGATAAAATAGCTTTGCCATGGATAGGCTATCGTTTATAAATGAAGCATAACAGATGCTTTGCTTGGAGTACGGGGGAGAATAGTGGAAGTAAATGAGGAGAAAACTTTGTTCTCTAAAATATTTCCCAGTAAAGGTATTTTCTTTTTTCCTCGCTATTAACCCTTAGTTATAGTTGAAAAATTGAATCTTTCATTTATGCATTAATAGCTACAGCCAATAATCAACACTTCAAACGATCATTCTATTGTATCATGATGGATCAAATGAATGAACCATCATTAGCACTTCAATCGATTTAAACGGCGACATTGACATATTAAATTAAGTATGGAATGTTGCGCACCTGAATGTAATACTAAAATTAATATTATGTCCTCTCTACACCAGTCCTGTCTTTTTCTTTTTTTTTTTTTTGATGATATAAAGGAAATGATTGAAATTTGAAAGAGAAGAATTTCTTTTCGAATAAAAATAGCTACTTTAAATGAATGCGTCCGTGATTAATTTACAGAATAATTAAACTAATATACCAAACAAAGATAATAAAAAGGAACTTTTCTTCATGGCCAAGCTATTTGGCATTAGTATGGTAATACCCTCCAGGATTAATGAATGGATCAAACGAAACGGTAAAAGGGGAAAGGAGAGGAGGAGGAGGGGGTGGTGATGAGTGGGTGGCAGGGGACGGTGAGACTGAGACATGAACAGCAAAACTAAGGGAAATTTTGTTTGAGCGGCCATCATAAGAGCTTTTAAGCTTAAAAAGATTAGAAAAATCAATTAAGCCTTTTTGGCCATTATGTGTGTCGTTTTTCTCATATCGCTTGTCCATCCTGTTGCCCATTCTTCGGGTCGATCCTCTCCCTTTACCCTTCCTTTTTGCAATGTCTTTTTTTCATCACTCATCCTCTCTCTTCTTCCCTTTCCTTTTTCTTCTCACCTGACACACAAACACACACATATATATATATATGCTCACACACACACACATACACAATTACTACAACAACAACAATTCCTACTACTGCTACAATAACAACAACGACTACTATAACTCATCATTTATTGTTTATGGTCTAGTTCCTGATTGAACATGAAATGTCACTATCAGTAATATATGCACTTACTTTACCCATCATCCTGTCCCGGATGATTCAGCCAGCTTAACATACTTCATTTAGCTGATATATGTCCAAAACGCTTCCTCCATTCATTTTTATCTTTCCTTTAAAGTACTTCTATCTCTTTCTCCTTTACTTTTCCATTCCGTAGTTCTTGACAATAAAATTAATTGTACATACTACCAACAATTCCTTTTGCATATAAACTTCTATCTTATCTATTACTACTCACAATTCCCGCTTTCTTCTTTCTCTGGCTTCTTTCAAAACAAAAAAAGGAAAAAAAAAAAAACCCTCAAAAGAGTAAGTTAGTTGTTCTCTTTTCTTCTATCCCTTTTTCCTCTCCTCTTTCAATTTGAAAGTTAGCCAGTTTTCAAGGTTTCCCTGATTTAGCAGAGTTTTTTTCTCTCCCTCTATCTCCCTCCCTCTTCCCTTTTCCCTTTTCTTCTCCAAAACTTCACTTTGTTAACTTGGACAAGTCAATATGAACACATCAGTCTTGCTGTTCAATGATGTCAACTCGACAAAATAGTTGATTGAAGATTAAGATAACTTATGAGTGATATTCATTCTTCTTGGTTTTATTTATTTACTTCATTAATTTCAATATCCCTAAGCTAATACTACTCATTTTGTTGCACGATAAGAAAATGAGGGAAATATTCTAGTATGAATGGCTGAGATAAAACGATAAAAAAAAAAAAAAGGAAAAAAAAAGAATTGTAAAATTAAGAAATTTCAAGAAAGTTTCAGATTATAGATGTGTTTGTAATTGATTAAATGTCACTAAAATGAATATCTGTAATTATTAATTCAGATAATGAATTTCAGCTTTTTTTCCTCCTAATCCTTCATTTCGCCAGTAAAGCATTTAAATAATTAATATATGCGGGATATATTATTACCAACTTTTCTTTTTTTTTCCCAATTTTAATCTAATACAAATTATGCGATACAGACTTATTCCTTAATCTGTTTATTAGATCATTAAGTTTTTTTGAAGTGATCATAAGTAATAATTTCAACTTATTCAAAATTTATCGAATTTAACGAAAAATTACAAGACCACCTTGTAATTACGCAAATTAGTTTAATTGTTGAGTGCAAAACGATGCACAGCCAATTTTTGCATATGAGAGGCAGGTTTATTAATAGTATCCAACTAAGTATTATATAACAATGGAACAACACTTCTAGAAATCCTATCATTGATATGCATCTAATTTCAAGGAAATTATCATGTTCTACACTTCTTTCATTAATTATTTAAAGGAAAAAAAAAAACAGAAAGCTTATCTTTTCGTAAAACAAAATCTAATTAATGACAAAAAAAAAAAAGAAAAAAAGATAGCCCTGCAAATTAAGCACAAAATATACCAGCGCTAATCTCAAACTTCTTTTTAATTCCCTCAAATATTGCAATTCAAAGATAGTGTTTAAAACGAAAAGAGAGAGAAAAACAAAGATTGAATCAGACAAAGTAGAAAAATAATAAAGCATTATACATAATGGAGCATACCTAAACAAAAGATACTAGTGACGTTAGAATTTACAGAAAAATTTCATTACAAAAAAAAAAAAGTGAAGTGAGCAAGCACCAATAATCAATGATTTAAAATCATTGAATAGAGAGAAGTTAGAAATACTTGCTGATATGAAATTTCATTAAAAAAAGAAAGGTAAAAATTTGTTGTATTATTTGTTCTACATTTATTTTGTAACGATAGAAATTTTTAAAAGATAAAATGAACATTGTGATATTCATATATAATGAATATCATATTTATGGTAGAATTATTATACAAAAATTTATGGTGGAATTATTACATTTGATTAAGGTTAAAGTTAACGAATAAAAATTAAAATACTTTTTTTAACACTATTAATACACATAAGTATATGTTATTAAGCAATAACGGTTACAAGTAATTAGTGCAGTTATAGTTTATTTTCCAACTGATTAAAATAAATTTGGTAAAAAAAAAAAAATTCATTAGTTATGCGACAGAAGTACAATAGAAGTGACAAATAAAAATGACGTATGGTCACCAATTTTTTTTTTCTTGTTCATAAAAAAAAAAAAAGAAAAAAGAAGCTGCAACACTACTCGTACTAATAATACAAATAAGCTCGTATTATGTTAAATTATAACTGTTATAAGTGATAAATGTAATTAAAAGTTAATAAAAATAAATTTGATACGAAATTTATTAGCTATGACTGAAATACTAATGGATTGACGTTATATGTCACTTTTTTTCTTTCTTTTTAACATGCAAGAGAAAAAAGAAACTCCATTATTTGTGCTATTAATACAAATAAGCCTACGTCATCATTGTATCGAATTAGCTTACAATTTCAATCTTACCTTATAAGGTATACATGATTGGAAGAAAAAGTGAATGCATTAAGTGAAACAGAAATAATTTGGAAATACGAATCAGAAAAAAAAGAAATACCTGGTATTTTTTGATTGCTAAATATAAATCGTCAGTTAAAACTATCTAAATAATCATTTAACTTAACATATCATAACTTTATAGGTCATGCACTGTTATTTTTCGTCATCAGCATGGATTACGAGTGATAACAAAATTGTTCTTTTTTTATTGATTTGATTATAGTTAAACTAATCGATGTTATCAACACATGAATTATTATTTTTACTACCCATCATGTGTCACTGTTATTTGTTGACATAAAATTTTATAAAAAGTTAAAAGGAAGGAAAATAGTGAAATATTTTTTTGTCCTTTATAGAGAAAAAAAAAAGAAAGATCACTAAATACTTATTGTACTACTCAATCAATGTACTTTTTAAAGTTGCGTAAATATCATTCAGCAATTGTAACACTTGCAAATTAATTCAAACTTTATGACGTAACGGCAAAAACGATAATTTAAAACAATCATTCAAAAGTTATTTGAAAAGTTGGATAAATTCGTCACACTTTGAAACATTGATAATGTGTAATTTTTCACTGAAAAAAAATATTGTTCCTAAGGAATTATTCCGCACAAATGCTCTTTCTTTCTCTTTTTTTTTTTTTTTTTTTTTGAAATTCCTAAATTAAAATTTTACAGACACTAAAATGAGCAACAACATATTTTGAATTGGTGCAATGAACTGGGAAATCATCCAACACATCAATCATAGTTCTCGTAACGAATACCGTTTTGTCAAATGTGATATTTTGAAATGATTTTAGAAGAGAAAAAAACAAAAATTAACAGAGAGACAGGAATGGAGGAACAATAAAGAGAAATGAAAAAAAAAAAAAAAAATGTAAAATAAACAAAATAATGTTTCAAAGCTGCAATAAATATCTACTACTCTTTAGATAAGTATATTGCGAAATGAATAAAATTCATGACATTGTTAGTAGAACATACATACATACATAACTCTCAGACAAACATACGTTAATTAATTAGTTGATCAATTTAAAAAT